TGAATCATATTTCTGCTCTGACACACCTGAAATTAGATCCCCTAAAGAAACATCATAGCCATTTCTTTTTTTATAGAAACGGGACCCAGGATTCTCCATTCAAAGCTGAGGAGTTTTCGATATTTTGGCTTCTTTTCTTACAAGATGAATAATCAGCATGGGGTTTGCTCTACACTACTGAGTGCTCTGTTCTTTGTCTGAGAAGAAGCTGAGCTTAAAAAGCAAATTCCTCAAATTAAGTGCCTGATTTATTCCAACTTGACTATGCTCTCCAACAACCAAGTTTTCCAATTTTGCTGAAATGTGGATCACAAAGGAATAGCAACATATCATCTTGGATAAATATGACAAAAATTAGCTTCCCTCCAGAGTGCCATAGAGGATCTGTTGACAGGACGACTATTAGTTGGCTGGAAATTACAAAATTAAATAAAAGCCATTAATGGGGAAACACACCAAACACACAATTGTCGAAGCTTGAATCTACATTGTTTAAATTAAGTTTAAACACTATATTCTGTTTTTTCTTCCACAAGGCTCTCATAATACATGACTGTAAATTTAGGACATATGCCCCTACAAACCAGATGTAAGGGAGTCAAACACACCTGCTCAGCTTTGCATCCTTATTTCCAACAGGACTGAGGCGTCCAAAAAACCTAATTTAGCTTTTTATGTAGTTTTGAGAAATGGCTTCTTCCTTTGTGAGGGGCTCTTCAGTGCATGCTCTTTTGAGACTTGTTTTACTGTCTATCAAGCTCTTCACTATCAGTTTAGAGAGTAACAAGAAAACTATTCTACAGTAACTTATTTATTTTCAATACAGCATTTATTGTGATATAATCAGAAATAACGAATAATAAAGGTGGAGTTTTTTCTCCAGCATTTGAAAATATCTTCTTTATGTCATATATTCTACAACATTAGTGTCTGGATATTTCTAAAGAGATGCAGGCAGCTTTTGTAGACGTTTCCTGTTTGATATCAGCGTACATTTTTGGGGCAGCAGATTGAATTTGTCACAAGCTCAGCAATCCCCCTCTCCGGGAGGATTTCGGGGATTTTCTGTTGCTTCCAGCTACATGAAAGGTTGAAGTAGGCTGACATTCAAAGTCTGATACACCAACAGGGGAAACACGAGAGCGGGAGTGAAGGTTATTAAGAGGAATTCCTCTGTTATGGTTACGGTGGAGAATGCGCACTAATCAAGACAGAGGTGGCATTGCATGGAGAGTGCAGATGAAAATGGTAATTCATGTCCATTTCGACTTCTTACATAACATACAGCAGTGAAAGTTCAGATTTGTGGTACGAAGGAACAAAAAAGTGGAAATGAATAAATGACTGACATTTAAAGTGAAAGTAATTATTGGAAACACTCATCCTCCTGTTTGCTTTTCACCCCGATTGCCTGAAAGGAAACACAACACTCTGCAGAGAGTCACTAAAGAGAAACTAAACAATAGTCACAAGGAAGGAAAAGAAAGTGCTGTAAGAAAAAGACCAGATGACGAGTTTGGCATTTAAAAAAAAAACACACCCTTTTTGCATTACATGGATGAACATGCAAATAAGACAAAACTAGAAACTGTTAATGTTAAACCTAAGCAGCACATCTTTCCTTTATTCTTCATCCTACTGATCCTAAAATGGAAAACCAGTTTAAACTGGAAACTGGAAAAAATAGCAACATACCGTACTTACATGTTTTATTAACAACAGGGACTGGTTATGTCATCAGCTACGAAGCTTCAAAGAGTGGTCACTTCTGTATAGTCTGAAATATTGTGTCTAAATATTCCCTTTAATTAAATTCATTATATTTACATGCAAACTGGAAAAACAGCACTGGTTATATAAGTATGGAGGACCAATCCTACCATAATTAGAAATAAAAAAATGTTCCAAAAATAAATAAGCATACAAAAATACAATAAACAAATAAATGTAGGTACAAATTAAATTATACAGTGAGACATAAATATATATATATCTCCTTTAATTAGCTTCTTTGTTTATTTGCCTTTGTAACAATTACCTTATTTATTTATTGTCCTTTATATTCTTCAACTTTATTTATTTATTACTCATTTCTTTAAGTATTTATTTATGTGCCTGTTAAAATATTTTTGTCTGGTTTATTCTTAATTTGTACTTTTTTACCCTATTTATTTCTGCCTGTTGAATTTGCATTTCTGTATGCATTTCTGCTTCATTATGCAAATGAGGAAGGGTGTGTCTTAAGGGGTCAACTTCTCCCCATTGGTTGGTTAGCAGCCAGCGGCCACAGTCACAACAAAGATGGCTACCTACGATGAAGTTGTCAGTGAGCTGAGACATTTAGCAACTGTTTTTGAAATAATGCTAATACTTAGGTTTCTGACCCTTTAATTTGGCTGCTCGGCCACTGACTGGACCGGACCGGGCATTCGAACCGAGCCATCAGCTCCAGGGCTGGTCTGGGTCAGGAGCCAGCCGGGGACGGAGCGACCGAACCCGACCCAGTGACGGTTTGCTTCCAACCACCTGCCCGGTAAGGCAGGCGGCCCCTTGCTACCCCTCGCCTGCTTTACTGGGTCAGGTTTGGTCGTTCTGTTCCCCGATCCGATTCTGAAAAACTAGATTGTCGAAGTCTGTGTCCATCTGTGCTGCTAACTGAACTACACGGTCTGTCAGAGCGTCCAAACTAGGGTAACCAGACATCCTCTTTTTCCCGGGCATGTCCTACTTTTCATACCTAAAAAAAATGTCCGGGGGGAATTTTTTTCAAGTGCAGCAGAACCGAGCCATGAGCTCCGCGGCTGGTCGGAGAACTCAAGCGGACGGGGGGAAGGTACCATTGGGGGACGGACGGGACAGTCCGGTACGGTCCAGTCAGCGGCAATTAATTGCACGGTTATTTGGTTAAACACGCCTTAGAAAATTACGGCTTAATCACTCGATTTCTATAACCATCAAAAGTCTTGCGGCATAATTCAAATATATTTTTCTATTTGATTTCGGGCAAAGCTGGTATTTTTTTTTCCTTTTTTTATTGGTAGATTCCTTTGTGGTGAGAAATTGAAAGCTGAAAAGCCTTTATTAAAATGTTTTTGGCTCTTTGGAAAACCTGATAATAAGCAACCCTGAAAAGAAGAAACTATCAAACTCATAGAATTATGTTATTTTACAGGTTGATATATAAATATGTGCAGAGAATCTTGCATAACTGTAACCAATCATTTAAAATAGATTTTTTTTTTAAATATGCATACAGTTTCATCATGGGTTACACCACCTCAGTCAGTCCTTAAAGTCTTAGGGAAGCGGCTGTTGAGACGGTTGCAGTTTCGAATTCTCACAAGTGGTGCCCGACTTTACACAAGTGAATAAAGTGAATGTGATTGGTCGATTATCAAGGGGGCGGGATTTTTGGGGCGGAAGGTTCGTAAGCATGTTTGGTTGTGGCCGGTTTGTCGGAAGCATCTTGCTTACCAGTTAGCAACTTAGTGCTAGTAGGTTCCCAATGGGAAATGACATTGGGACCAAGTAGCGCTTAGAACTCAACGGTAAAGTAAATGATTCTTATTTCTTATTTCAACTGTTGCGTATATTAGCTGTGACATATGAATTAAGATGCTATGATTGAAAAAATTTGATTGACAGATGACCGTTGATATATGATTGGCCGAATTTAGGTGTACAAGCTGACATATAACTAACTGGCCTGCATAAGATAGCGGAAAAAATAACACAGATTTTAAGACAGGATTTTTTTTAAATAGAAATTTTCCAACTTTTGGGACAATATCGTCTGATAAAGAGTACATTTATATACATGTTTAAGCCAGAATGATTTGAAATCTAAATATGACTTCCCTACAACTTTAAATGTACTGGATGTTGCTTTTCCAACAGTTCTAACAGACCTTACTGCAAACAAGGATAAGGAAAATAAAAGCCCCATGCATACAGGAGCCTCCGTTGAAAGCCAGAAACAGTTAAGATCTTCTTTTATTCTGAAGACTTTAGTGAAGGTGATAAAAAGGTTGATGCGATAGGAATGTATTTTATGTGTTATTTCTGACTCGCAGTGTCTAAAACATGATGACCTGGTCAGTGTTAAGATTTTTAACCTTTTTGTTCTTGCTTCAGCTAGATGCACAGACATACTGTAGATAAAGTAATTTCCTCTCAGAGCAACATAAAGGATTCTTTAAAAGCTTGTCAGTCTAAAGAACATTTAAAAGGCCTTGAGAGTTGGAAAAGACTCTGCTTCTTTTAAGTCTGTCAGTGCGCAGCGTTTAGAGTTTAATCAGATGTAACTCGACCTTTATTTGACTGATCTCCATTGGTTGCAACTCTAAATAATGCTTTACATCTCATCCAAAAAGCGCTGGACGATAGTTTAGCAAAATGTGGGAAGAGTAAGAGAAACAGTGATCGAGGGAAGAAGATCAAGGAAGGAGGTAGCAGGAGAGACTGTTGCAGTTATTGATGATTTATGCCCTGGAGAGCCGAAAGTGATCGATGGAGTGAAGATAGAGCAGCAAAAGGAGATTCAGAAACTTCCTTCAGACTGTGTCCCATTGTGGATGCATTAGGCTATTGTGAGTAATGTGCTGCTTGATTTACATGAGACCCCGTCCAATTTCAGCGGGTAGAAGCAAAGCTGCTCCTATTTTTACTGTCGTGTGGAGAGGAGTTCATCTCATCTGTCAGTCGAGATGGAGGGAAGATTAATAGCAGCTGTGTCCATGAATGAAAAACTTAGGAGTGTGCGGCGTGCACGACAGAAACAAGAAACCTTTTCTTATGCAGATAGGTAAAGTTACAACAAACTTTAATGTTAAAAAGAGGACAATCCTCTGAAAAGAGACAGAAACAGAGGCTTGTTTTACAGCAGGAAAAAAATACTATAAATATGCTCTATTTCAATCTTTGGCAAGACTTAAAGTCTCCTTCCAGTTGTAATTATTTTGAGCTGCTTTATATAGGAAAACAATTATTTAAGTCTGTAGATGTGAAAAGGTGGCAGCGTCACACCCCAAAGACTGGTAGTAATGGCAATGAAAGCTTGGTTTAGTCACATTCTGAAAGTAAATGTACACCGCACCTTTCAGATCTGGGTTGATGAAAATCAAAATAATTAAACTCTGTGGTTCAGGAGGATTCAGGTGGACACAGAACTTGCTGATACTACGTCCTCCTGATTAAAAAATACAGAGCATTTGTGTTTCTATTGAAATATGTATCTTGGTTCCTGTTATGTTCTATTTTTTAGGAAACTAAAGAAGCAAAAAAAAAAAAAACACACACACATTTGTAAATGTTAATAATGAAATAGAGCATTTCTTTGCTGGTTTGTCATTGGCAGCCAAAAAAAGAGCATTGTCCCTTTAAAAAGGCACAATTGTCCAATATCCTTAATGTAATCTGAAAGAATATTCATAAATGTTTCTGGATTTCTCTTTGGGTCCAACCGAATGTTGTGACCTTCTGGTGTGACTTTGTGTGCATCTATAAAAGGGAGAACAAACAAGCAATTCTGTGCCACTTTTTTTTTCTCCAGCCCCCCTGCCATCAGTGACTGTACACCCATTCACTGATGGACAAACACATGAGGTAACTGCTGCTGTAAGTCAAGAGGCATAGAGCTGGAGCTCCCTCTATGGGTGGTAGGTGGTGCGTGCGCAGAGCTTGATTATATCCGGTGACTTCGCAGCTTGTCAGCTCTTTTGATAATTAAATCCTTAACTTGGTTGCTTTCCTTTTTCCTTTTTTTTTTTTTTTACAACCGCATAAGTGTGAATGTTAAACTGATGTCTCTAATTAACGATGGAGTAATACTCAGTCCCCGGATGGCTGCAAATCAGCGAGCTGCAGGGCAAATTAAAAGCTGAATCGTCTCAATACACAAAACCTCAATTAGGACTCATTGTCAGACCTACAGAGAGAGTGAAATTCTTTGGCTTTCATTTGCATTTAAATCAGTAACAGTCCAGTCAATACCAAAACCATGCTGTCAGAGATGAAGTGCAGCTTTTAGGAACATACTGTGGCGGATTCTCTGCTGCACACAGATACGGATGAGGTAGGTGGAGGGAAAACACAGTCCCAGCCTTTCTGAGAGCTCAGAAGGGAGGCTTATAGGCAATTTTGAGTGGGCAGGAAGAAGCTTTACAGGTGGGCGAGAAACTAACTAGGTTCCATTTCACAGAAGTTGCAAAAACAGACAAAGGAGAGTCTTGCATGGGGTTGAGTAGGATGGCTGCTGAATAATGTGCCTCCGGAGGAAAGCAGTAGTGTTTATTCCTGAAGAGGATGTGTGTGTGTGTGCGCAGTGGTATTGCCTATTCACGTTCCTCTCCTTCAAGCTTCTTCAGTCTGGCCATCTGTCTTGTTTGCGTCTGGTTGATCTCAGACCTCGGGGTCACATCCAGGCTGTAATGAAGCAGCTTAATGTCAGTATGAAGAAAACTGAACCAAAACAAGCATTTTGTTGTTTTATTTTATTGTTTTGCTGTAAATTTGCCTTTATTTTCAGCTGCAATTTCCAGTTGAGCTCATTTAGCTCTGTAGCATTACATGCTTTCAGACTTTAATTAAAGGTAATTCCTTATTATTCCTATGTTGTATCACAAACTCTATCATCACTCAGTCTTATTATCGATAGAGATGAAAATAAGGTTTTGTTTGATGATAAATTAGATTGAAACTGACATTTTAATTGCAGACGTGCAAACTTAGTTTAATCATTAGCAGAATGTCAGAGGAAGAAAGAGGCTGAGCCGATTCTCTGCAGGATGAAACGCAAAGAAAAGGTCTGTTTCAGTGTTTAGACAGCAGCTTAATATCTCTGCATATTATCCAGTGGGATGCGGCTGCCAGGAAGCTTTTGTTAAAGGAACTCCAGCTACATGATGTCCTCATTCATTAACTTTATGCTTTGTTTATCCAGAATACTTCCCCTCCTAAAACTAAACATGCTTTTTTTGCCTTATTTCTGCTAAATGTGGGGCCAATCATTCTATTATTTTTTTTCTTGGCTTGAAAAGTGTCTCCTTGTAAATGTGAGTTCTCCGATCCCGCCAGGCTGGATGTTTGTCTTATTTCTAACTGACCTGGCCTTTTTGGTGCAGGGAGGTTGCTATTGGAGACAGGAGCTTTCCTCACGAGGAACTCGGCTCTGATCATCTCTGGTGTCAGCTGGATCCCCGAATCTTCACACCTGCAGACAGGTTTTCAGGATCGCCATCAGTGCCGGAGGGGCAGGCCTACCTGGAGACCCTGGTTAGTGTAAACAGCAATATGAGGTGCTTACCAGGACTCTGGCAGAGCAGGAGGCTCATCAGGGAAGGCAGCAGGAGGTGCAGAGAGAGGGAGGATGTCTGTGTTGTAATCCACGGACCTGGGAGAGACATATACATCCTTTATGCTTCTCCTGAAGCGCAAAAACAAGCAAATCCTAACAATAATTAATTGAAAAATCTTACTTTGAACAGTAAGATTGGATGTTGATAGAAAATAAAAGCAATTTTTTAAGTGAATACTTAATTTAAATCGTATTGGATAATCTAGAAACTGGGCAGAATGTTTAACTACTTTCTAAATTCCATTCACATGAAGCCTTTATATTTATCCAAAAATTAGCTGTAACATGACTTCCAAGATCCTTACAGGACATTTGACTGGAAGTCTTCCCACTAACTTTACACCCTTGTTCCGCTTCAGGAAGTATCAACAAACCTGTAACAATCAGAAGCATGTGCCGATAACTGAGCTGTAAGCGCACATAAGACTGTTTGCTATAAAATGACAATGTGATCTGTGACAAGACGTGTCTACGTCTTGTCACAGTCGTACATTTGGGGCATATCAAAGGACGGATATGCAGGAAGCTGTTTAGACTGTGACTTATTTGAAATACCAGAGAATTATCTAATTAACAAATCAACCGCAAATCTGACAAAATGTCATATTGGGTATTTTAGCAGAACCGTGATGCCAACAAAATGGTTTGGACACAAAGTGAACTATCTACCAATGTCCAACCAGAAACCTTGAAGAGAAGAAAGCGTGCTGGAGGACAGGGGACTCTGGAGAGATTGAGCAAAGCAGAATAGTTGATGATCGCTTCCTTTTGTAAAATATTGCATGAGCAGACAAAGCGCTGCAGGCAAGAAGGGCACAAAGCATTAACAGCAGCCAATAAGTTCAGTTCAGATGTGTGAAACTTTCCAGTAATAGCTCCAACTGGGAAAGCAGCTATCGTCTTGCTGCTGTTTCCAGATCAACACAGTTGTGCCTTCATTTAGTGCCTTATTCTGTTGTCTGAGTTTAATTACAGCACTTAAATATCTTGATATTTATTCCTGATCAGCTTTGTTCCCTTTGGTACCTGATTCCAAAAACTCAATCATGGAAGATAAAGTGTAAAAGTTTCTGCAGAAGGGTCAAGTGGGAAAAAAAATGTTTGCACAGAAAAGTGTGCACAAATAGAACAGGACAAACTAGAGCTGTGTTTGCTAACACACTACATCAAATACCACTTCCTTGCTGTTCTTTCAGGCTGAAGACTGAATAAATCATTATTTCTTCATGTTAGCCTCCATACAGCCTGACCTAGATTCTTTAATAGAGATACTTGAGCTAAATCCGTCTACAAAAAAAGAGGAATGATTTCATTTATCATCTTCTATTTCATCTGGATGATCAGTTATAGACTAAATTATGTCTTTTCTATGAACGCGAGAATAAATAACCAGTCTAAAAGTTGAGATTCAGAGCTTTGAAGTGCCTAAAGTGGAGGATGCTGTCCTAGCCTCTGCCTCTATGAATGTGTTATGAGCCTTGGCGGATCTATTACAAGTGGACAATCTGACATCCAGCGTCCTGGCAGGTGGAGGAAGTTGTTTGGACTTCTCTGTTACATATTCATACTGTACCACTTTGAGCTTTGCTTGCTGTAATGCTGTTTGCCAGATAACGGAACAGACACAGAGGCGAGTTAATGATTGGACTTTGATGGAGGATTTAGAGGGAAATATCCTCTCCAACAGCATCAACATAAGCTTTAAAACTTGTCTAAAACATAACATGTAATATATCTCACTTCAACAATCACTAAGAATCTATTAACGATTAAATTATCTTCAATTAAGGTCTTGTAAACACAGGAATTCCTGTAAAAGATGGAAACTTGTACAGTATAAACAAAAAACATCATGACTTCAAGTGGATTCCTTTTGCTCAGTGTGAGAAAATTGCAGTATTTTTAACTTCTTATTAGATGCTGTTAGATTTTGGTTCTCAAATCAAAACAGGAAGTAAAAAATCTATGCTGAGCTTAAGCAGTCTTCTCCAGCTGCTGATCAGGATTGGTTTAAGTCAGCTGGAAGGTAAAAGCCCTCCTGGTCCAAAGGACTGTAAAGCGCTTCTGTTAAGACTCAGCAACAATGAGCACACGCACGTATTAAACAGGTGACCTACCTTCGAGGAGAACTGGTGGGGAGTGAGTTGGAGTCGGAAAATAAAGAGTTTGAATCTGATTTCCTCCATTTTACAATCACTTCCTGCAAGGAAAAGACAACAATATAAAATACAGAACATGAGTTTTAAAAAGCACTTCAGGTCAACAGGAAAATAGTCAACAAACAATGCAATGAAAAACAATTCTTACCTCATACATAACAAACAAAGACTATACAGTATAAAGCTAGGATTTAAAATATGCAGCAAGTGCGACAGGGATTTATATTCAGCCATATTTTAGTATGATGCCACTAAAAGAGATCCAGTGCAAAAAATGTCTCCGGATCCCAACCAGGAAGTTAACCAAAGCAGGTTAATCGTTCAATCCATCCGACATCTTTATGGAAGATTAAAAATAACTATTTGGAAATCTGGAACTTCACCCTGATCATATAAAGTAAATAGTGAAACATGGTGGTGGCAGCATCATGCTGTGGGGATTTGGTTGCTGCTATGTCACATTTAATCCATATCTAGAGGGTGTATTCTAATAAAATGATCAATTACCTTCCATATCTAGATTACTACTGGAGTTATTTTACAGAAAGCCATAAAGGCATAAAGAGTGGAGACTGAAAGGAATTTACCTCATGATGGAGAAACTGAGGTTGTGGAGGGCGTGTCGTGAAGCCAGAAGAGCTGCTCTTAAAGACTTCATACCTTAACAAAATGTAACAGCTGAATTAATGTTATATGGTTGTAAAAAAAAAAAAATGAAATAAAAATGTAATTTTTTGGGGTCTTACCTCTGCAGGGGACAGAGATGAATCTCCAAGTCACTCTCCAGATATTTGGGCTTTGGTTTATAAATCCGAAGACCCGGGGCTGGATTCTATAATAAGATTTCACTAAGTAAATATGTAGTAAGAGGAGTTTCCTGTATGAAAAAAAGCAAGTAATATGAAGCAAATCTCAGCCATACAAAGATCCTGAGAGGGTTTGCAGGAATAGGCCTGAGCAGATCTGCAGGAGCGCTGAAGGAGAATGCAACAGTCTCCTTTGCTGCTACAGGCTCCTCTTCATTCAGCTCAACTTTAACGTTCTTCGTTCCAATAATTTCATCTTTGTCTTCAACAGGCTCCTGTGCTTCCTAAAGGGAAATTAATAAAACATAAAAACTGAAGGATTGGAGGTAATTTACACCTCAATCGAGGAGCTTCATAGTTACCGGAGCTCCAGCAGGAAGAGGTCTGGCCAGTGTTGTGGGTATACAGGAGTTAAAAGCTTCCCAAGCAGACACAGGCCAGTAAGCCATGAGCTGATAGTGCTGGGGAACCTGGATAACATCACAGATGGCATGCTTAAATGCACAAGTTCCACTGAGCATTAAAACCAAGAAGAAAGCAGCATTTAAAAAGGGCTAAATGCGTATGTTTTTTTTTGCAGTCTAAATAAAACCTATAATCATTCACAATTCACCAAAAGAAAACTCTTCTGTGGTTCAGAAAGAGTAAATCGCTCTGCCTGTATATTGCCGTCAGGACCTCCTACCATCTGTTATTTAAACTGCTCCACATGAACTCCTGGTTCTGTAATATTTGCCCCCATTTACAGTCCTTCAACACATCATATCACTTTCTCTGATACTCCACACCTGCAAAAACAATATATAAATCTCATACCCCTTTATGCTGCTTTCCTGCATGTAAAAGAAAGGATATTGGCTGAGAATCACTGCAGACAATGGGAAGAAGGTTCCAGGAAAAACTAAACGTTAACATCAGTTTCCGCACAGGCAAACATAAATGCAATGTGCTGTAAATCGTTAAAAACTGCTGGAAATTAGTGGAATTACACTTTGCTGCAACTTTTCATGCAGTAAAATGGGGAGTTTGCTTCAGGTCTTGCATATTTTTCACGTCTAAAAGGCATTTTTTACTATAAAAACTGTAAATGGAACTAGTTTAAAGTGGCAGTTTTGGAAAGAAAAAAAAAAAAAAGCTAAGCTTATTCCATTAGAGGTCAACAAAGCTTCTAATTACCAATTTTCAGTGTTTTTTTTTCCTCTGACATCCTACAGTAGGAGTAAAGGTGCAATTAAATTTCCCTAAACTGCAGAATCTAAAATCTAACTGTTCATTAAAGCAAGATTACAATTTTTTTCCTAAACATGGCCAATTGATAAAGGTTTCCTCCACTCTGACTTTATCTGCAGTAAAGGAAAATAAACTGACCTTAAACTGATGTTTATTGTTAAAATGAGCAATTTATAGATTTGTATTTGATGCTCATTAACTCTAAGGCTCTACCTGAACGTCCCTTAGCGTAGCAGATGAATGTTAATGGCTCATTGAATAATTAACGTGGGAAGAAAGATGATTTTTAGGAGGGATGAAAAGCTGATAAAGGCTACTTGGAGCCTCTAAACTAGCATGTCCACATTTCCCTCTCAGTGCTCCTGTCCACAGGCCTGAATGTTAAGTTAACCGCTGATGCTAAGATAATCTGAGTGTGAGAGCATATGACTGTCTGTCTCTGTGAAGCGCTCGCAACCTGACAGGTGTGTTCATTGCCTTTTGGCAAATGTCAGCTGAATAAAGTAAGGCTGCAGAACCTCATGGATATATAGTGCTGCAATAATTAATAAACTTTGGGTTTCTACACATTTTCATGATTATTTCTCGGAAATTCTCTTTGTTCAGTTTGGAAAATATTTTAAAAATAAAACATATCTGGTAAGGAGTTAAATATGAATGAATTTACCAATATTTTTACATGGTTTAGTTTTAGTTTCCTCCCTCATCCAGACTTGTAGGCTAGCAGAAAGTCCGGTGTTTCCAGACAGAAAATGTTTTTCCCTGATCTTATTATTGAATTACAATCCAACACTGCTGCTGGTTACGCATCCAGTGATATATGAGGGAGCTGCAATGTGAGAAAGCCAGGTGCTTTGGTAAGAACTGACCTGGAGCTTGAAGAAAGGAATGTGTGCTGTCACCGTCACATCAATAGGATCCACAGGCAACGCCACCAAATTCCTGAGAGCCTTGAAATATCAAGAAGACAAATGGCAGTTTTTATGCAACTCAACACTGAGGTCCAGAGCTCTGCAGGGCGTCTGAATCAAAGATTTAATTAAAGTACCACAAACTGAGCTTCCTCACTGATTTTATGCCGGATTAAATACAGGAAGTAATAGATAAAAATTGTTCCACATGCCTGATTTCTGTATCTGTGCAGGCTTTATATCAAACTGTTTTATGAAATCCATTGTAAAACTTTACATTAAATACAGTTAAAGATGTTCTCACCATGGGATTGTTCTCAGTGGGGAACTGTGGTAATATGTTGTCAGGAGACAATAAATCACATGTTTTATCCTTAACTGGGGAAAAAAAGAGGGAAAAAAGGTTCAACGTGTCATAATGAGGTTGTTTCAGAACAATAAAGCTCAACCCATTCTCCACAGAGGGAGCCTACTTCATACCATCAGCCAGTTTCTTCAACGAGGTCAGTCTGCGCTGCATCCGGCATCGAATCACAACCTGGAAGACAGAGACAAGTTCAACCTGTCGCCACTTTGCCACAGTTACACTATCTGGGAGGAGTTTGAGGTTGACTCTGACTCTAATTATTTTCTGACATTCAGGACTTCTGGTTTCCTTCCTTTCTCCATAATGACTCTGTAATGAGGTTCTGTGGACTCAAACAAGACCCCTTATTAGTATCATGCTGCATGTTTAAACCTTGGCGAAATTAGAAAAAGGCTTTCCAATGGAAACCAATCAGATTTGGTCAATTTGTAGTTGTTTACTTTTGTTTATTTTACATTTTAGCTGCACTCATCTAAAAAAGATAACTTAATACATAACGAATATACATCTAAATTCTAAATCGAAACACTAATGATAAACTGGACTGAAAGACAATTATACATTGACTCTGAAATTTCCACACGGCTGAGCTGAAAGTGACAGGGCTGCAGGGGTGCTAACCCCTCTAATGAGGCCCGCGGAGAAGATGATGTGCTTGTTCATTCATGCATAGATATTCAAACAAACCTCGCTGACCTTTTAACAGAAATATATTATTCAAACTCCAATATCGCACAGTCCAAACTAGATTTGTTTAGCATGTACCTTTCGAGCTGCCTGCTGAAAAAGTGTGAGGGCTCTCTGTCTCAGTTCCAAGTTAATATCGATGTGCAGCTGGAAGACTGGTTCTCCGTCTGGATCCTAGGAGAGATCGGGAAAGTTTTAGACTATTTCCTGTCCAGGAAGCAAAGGAGGTTGCAGAGCAGGGATCTGATTGGTCAGCTGCAGTTGCCAAGGCAGGTGTTACAGTACTGAGGTGTGTAAAACAACAACAAGATATATGGATAGCTTGATAAGTTAGATTTTCTTTAAAAGTTTTAATAATTCATTTTAAAAACGTCTATTTCATCACTGGCAGACTGGTACATTTAACCTGTTTGTTTCCAACAGTTTTGAAAGAGGAGGAAAAGGAAGCTGAGCCAATATATATTAATGGAAAGTTGAGTGGAAGGAAAAGTGCAATAGAAAGGGTGCGTAAGAAACAGCGGTTAACAAACCGTTAAAGGTATTGTGAAGGATTTTCATGAATTTTTTAAAAGACTCGCCCTCTCCACTTTGAAAAACGTGCATGCGAGAGCATGCATGAGCCCATTTTTCCTCATGCACGCTCTGTTTAAAAGTTGCTGTTTTTATAGCTTATACAGGTTTACTGTGTCCTATATACTATATAGTGGACTTAATAGTGAACTGAACGTTTGGACAGATGATCACTTAATTTCGCTCCATTGGTGAAGTAACTTCTCCTTCACAGCGCAGTGTCTGCATCATCTTTATTATTAGTTGCCACTGTTAGGTACAGACAGCCTATGGCGACAGCAGGCTGCTGCAACAGCAAATCCCATAATGCTTTGTGAGGAGAGCCTTCCTCTCAAAGCATTATGGGATACATCTGTCTCTTTTGAGGCCTTTCTTTTCTTCTCATACACTTCATAGACACTTTTTCTCTTGCGACCCTCGGCCATTTTCAAAAAACCACGGTGAGAAAGGTGAGCTTCAATGACTGTCTGAAACCGTAGCTCACCACAGATATTTGCCTGAAAGTTCATGTGTGCAGAAAAATATAGCGAATGGAATGAGCTCGTAGGCCGGCCTTACATAAACATATCACCAGAATGATTGATCGTTAGAAGGAACACTTATTTAGATGATCCACCCAGAAAAAAGGTCATCCTCTATACCTTTAATAGTAATGTAAAGCAGCCGATTAAATAGTTTGGGAGAAAAGCTATAGGGCTGCACATATACGACCTGTAATATCCTTTTTTAGATCAAGTCTCTTGTGGAACCATGTTCTCTGCTGGTGTTGGTCCACTCATCAAATCAAAGGTCAGCTGATCGCCGCTATGGAAATGGTGCTTTATATCTTAGCAAGACCTGGCGGCAGCCCACACTGCTTAAATGAGCTCCATCTGGTTTACTGATGATTTGATCACTGCAGGGTTGGCCAGTAAATGGATCTATGGAGCACTGACATGAGTCACCAGATGAGACAGAGCTTCAAGCCAAAGCAGCCCAAACAATACAGTACTTTACACAATGTTTTATTTTTGTTAGCGGACATTTTGACTCAATTAACCCAGAGAATATTAATGTTGTATGTTTATTACCTGTACACCAAATTCTTAACAAGTGGAAATAAACATTTAAAAGATAAGTTGGAAGTCCCATCAATATCTCTAATAAATGTGTTTTACTTTAGCAAACGTTGGAATGGAATAAAAGAAATAAACTAATTGATAATCTGACATTAACTGAGGTGAATATTACATTCACAGGCTAAGCTCAGCATAATAGTTTGAGCTGAATTCTCTCCAATGTAATGTAACAGGGGATTCCAAATTTCAAAAAAGTCTCTTATATTTCATTAGAAGACATAAGTTAGTCTTTACAATGGAAACATTTGCAGTACATTATTTAACCATTTGGTTAAATATCCTGAAAAATGGGATGTGGGTGTGTGCATGGTGTGTGTGGGTGTGACTGACTGGGTGTTATGGGAAGGGTTGGAACTGGTTAGGCAGTTCAGAATATAGAAGGGAAACTTGGGGAGGTGGGTTAAATGAGTAGGGATTACTGTTTATTGCTGTTTTTGTTTTGTTTTTATCTGCATTTATGTATTATTCTGTTGAGTGGAAAATATAGCTAAATTACAGTGAATATGTACACACTTGTATATATATTTTTTTCTTGTATTTTATTATTGTATATATATTTATTTACTTGCAAAGATGAAAAGATGGAATTAAATGAAAGAAAGTTGCAAATTGTCAAAAAAAGGTCCAGGTATTTTTGTATTGCTTTAAGGGAACCCAAATCTGACGCCCAAACAGAACGAGGACCAACTAAGACGACAACATTCATCATGGCAGAATAACATAATATAGTGTATATGTATACAAATATTACTTGTACACTGCTCTCTAAGTGTGGCTTTTGTGATGTAAAATATTTAAGTCAAAATCTTTTCCTCATTTAATGGAATATTTATCCTCTAATTCAACTCTAGAAACAACCAGAGGTGATGAAAGGGGGAACATCCTACAAGAACCAACCAAAAGGCAGAAATCAATACTAAAAGAGCTGCAAGAATTTCTCCTTATTACTGGTTGTCTTCTATATTTTTTGTATCCTGTATCTTCCAGTTGTCAGACTAAATCTTACCTCCCAGTTTGCTCTACTGCCCTCTACACCACGAGAACTGAATATCCACCTGCTAGTGTTTGTTAGAACTCTGCAGACGTCCAGATTTGTGTTTTTGTGCTGGTGGTGCATGCTGGCAGCAACAATAACTCCCCTATGAGGACAGTTTTTTCACTTTCTCCAGATAATCAAAAGTGCTTCAGTGCCATAAACTCCCCCGTAATCATCGCCTGAGAGTGAAAACACTTTAATTTATCCAGCTGAGTGAGAAAAAGATCGAATGCATGATCCAAACAGCTCTTCCTTCAATACATGGAAGGGTATGTTTAGGCATGCAAGCTGTTATGTTTTAAAAAGCAAAAGTTTTATCTGTGTGCAAAAAAATATGTGAAGAACATCACACCTAAAAAGGAACATGGTGGCGCTTGCATCATGCTGTGGCTTTACTTTAATTTGTGCCACTAAACTCAGCAACATCAGCAGCCACTTCGCATATCATCCCTTTAAATGGTTATTAGTAGTTATTAGTCGATAGAATGGCTTCAGATTGTGCCTCCTACCTACCTACCTCAGTAGATTATCACTGAATGAATCCTAATCCTAACCCTAAGGTAATTCCATTTTTATCTCAGAGTTAATTAACCTATTTATGTATAATTTGAACAGAATTTTAGTAGTTCTTCATCTATTGAACAAAAATAAAGTTGATCGACACGTTGCGTATATCGAACAACCCCTTCAGACCCCTGAGTTGTATTTAAACACCATATGAAATCCATATATATGTATAAATATAAAGAGTAGGTAAATAGAATAGTGGCTATTATCAACGACAAGCTGCATCTTTTCAGCCGTGAGAAACCTAGAAGGTAGAAGAGGTAGAACAGCCTGGAGCCATTTTATGGGATTGATAACCGCTAATAACGGCCATTTAATGGTTGATCACAGCTAAAGCAGATAACGACATCCAGTTTTGTATTGTTAGGCTGAACAGGCACACGTCTCATTTAATGTGTAAAAGAGGATCTTCAACACTTGAGTTTCATGTTAAACTTGCGACTCAAACAGTAGGAGGACCTGTTTTGCATCATGAAGCATCCGACTGGAGGAAAGCTTGGTTTGTTCAGGAGTGATGTCTTCATCTTGCGTCTCATCCTCCTTTTCGACCTTTAATACAATCAGCAAACAAGAGACATTTTCATCAAAAAACCCTTGCTTCTTTCTTTCAGCATTTCTTCTTTAACTTTATAATGTTTCAATAAACTACAGAATGTCACCAAAGACCTCAGGTTACTTCCCTGTTATTAGATGAAATTATAAAATGTAATGAACTC